ATGCGTGTGCATGAACTTAGCTTAAGAAAACACAGACTGCATTTGCTACTGTTAAATTTACAACACATTTGGCTACTCTTCCAGCACCCAACTCCTTAGTCTCTTAAAAATAAAAACCAAACAAGTTTTGCTTTTCAGAAGGAGAGAAGATCATCAAATTAAGATTTATTCAATACCCAAAAAAGTTCCTTTCTGGACAACACTGATTAGAAGATATGTCTTAAGACATCTCAGAGGCTATTGAAAGCAAAAGTCTCCAAAACGGTTTTTGAAGGCAGCCTTGGGCTCAATCTCAAGGTATGGGAGTTTTCTGACCTACACTCTCATCCTTACCTTCCTTCACACCTTTAGAAATCTGACTCATGAAAAATTTAGTGCTTAATCCACAGCCGATCAAAAACAATAGGAATCTAACCACTGATCTTACTGTTTTGGATCAAATCCTGAAAAAGCAAGGCAAAGTGCAGGTATTTTCTCATGTTAGCAGCCCCTCACATACAGAGTAACACGGATGTGAAGATGAGTTATTCTTTAAACACTCACGCTAGCACCAGGAGCACAGCCCGTGCTCAGAGACGCTCACAGTTCAGGGAGGTAAATGGGAGTGTGCGAGACCAGCTTTTGGCTCTGATAATCTCATCAGTAGGACTGAATCAAGTTGCAGCCTTTACAAGACAGCTCTTTCCACCCACATATTAATGCTACTTGTTTCTGAAATCCCAGTGACAAAACCAGATGAGCTCACAAATTTTGCGAGCAGAAACTCTCTAGTTAAGGTATGACCAAGGCCTGCAGACCATGAGCACTGGCAGTGGCCATGTCCCTACTCCCCAGCACAAGGACAGGATCCAGGCTGGAAGAAGGAAAGCGTTTGCTGCCAAGATCTCGCTGGGCTGTGCCCGAGCTGCTGTCCCATAGGCAAATACAGGTTGGTCCCTCAAGCTTTCAGTGGGGGTTACACACCAGCTGGCGGATGCAGGACTTCAGCCGGCAAAAGCACATGACCCACAGCCCACCACACACTGCCTGCTGGCCCACCCTGGCTGGCCCGAGTCTGTGAAGCGCTGAGCTAGGCTGGGAGTGCCCGTCCCACAAGGGCACCTGCCCGCCCCCCCCCACCGGCCTGCCCACTCCCTGCCGCATGGCGTACATCCCCCGGGACAGCCCTGGGGCACCCTGGGCAGGCCCAGCCCCAGGTGAACAGGTCCCTCAGCTGGGCAAAATGTGCCTCCATTCATCAAGGACTCTCAGAGGATTATTAATAAGGAGAGTAAAAATCATTATCTCTACTTTTCTTGAGGAAATGCAGCTGCAAAGTCAATGAAGTGCCTCACCCAGGTCTTCCACCTCCCAAGCCAGGATCCTATTCAGTAAAGGAAAATATCCCTCTGAATTCTTTTAATGAAGCCTTTCACAGCCATAGAGAGAAAGGATTCTTCTGATCTACCTCTTCTTTCCAAAGATGGTTCAATACCAGAAGGTCGATTTTTTTTTTTTCTTGCTGGGCCACCCACTTTGATGGCAGCAACTTGGAGCCCCGTAAATAGTCTGGAGGTATTCTACTGGCCTCACCTTTCTTTAATTAAACTTAAAGGTTTTAACTACAAAGCATGTAAAAGAAGTGCATTTACAGAATATGAGAATACACTCCTCCCAGTAGGAAGTGTCAACCCTCTGGTATGTACCCCCATATCTGACGATTTTACTGCCACCTTTTAACTCCCCAATACAAGACCTCACTTTCCTCATCCTCCTATTACAAACCCACCTCCACAAATGCGAGCCCAGGGTCCCTGTCTTCCTCCTCCCTCTTCTGTACATTCCCTTCCTCAGACTGGACCCACATCAGATCTGTATTCACAATATATCCCTAACAAACTCACCAACAGAAAAATCTTAACTTGGCTTTGACAACAGAGCCATCCCTGTAATATTTGAAAAGAAACCCAGTGGTTTCCACTCAGTTATGCTTTGAGTTCTTGAGGTTAAAGCAAACCTGAAACTCAAAGTGAAACTCTGGTAAGAGTGAGAGGAAATATATGAGAAACAGAGGGGAAAAATCTTTGCTTATTACATCCCACCATGGTCTGAGAAGCTTCTCTGTAATTCAGAGACATTGTAGCCCCTTTGGAGTTTATGGCCTGTTAGAAATAAGCATACTTCACATCTACATAAATTATACTATGATTTCTTATAAAAAAAAAAGTCTAAGAAAACAGTTATAGCACAGAGCAAGTCAGCTGAATGTGAAATAAAGAAATTAAGTCATAGTAAAGAACATACAGGAAAAATATTTTGTAGCGTAGGAGTAGCATCTAAGACAACAAAATTATTTTGGTCTCTGCCACAGATCTCCTGTGTTGTTTAGGAATTTCAGTTACTTCTTTGGACTCACATGATCCAAAAAACTGTTAGAAGACTGTTAAGGCTACTAAAAGGCTCCACTTGTTTGTAAAACACCTTGAAATGCTTGGGTGGAAAATAGCAAAGAACACCTCCTTATAATCACTTAGCTGATCAGTATGAAGTTAGAGACAAATTTGAATTAGATGCACTAACAACTGATCTAATCTGGTTGAAGACAAATTGTATTTCCCATATAAGCAACGATCACACCAAAGATCTGGTTATGAAAGGCGAGATGCAAAAACGTAGCAGAGTTTCAAAAGCATTGGGACTTAAAAAAATACAGGTACCTCTTTGGTTCAATAAGAACCACATCCACAGGAAGGGAAGAAGGGCTAAGAGGGGAAAACAGAGACAATCTACATCACCATTTTCTGATTAACTGAAAGCATTAGGGCTTTTTAGATATTATATCAAGTTCTATCAACGACAGCTACAGTAACGATCCTTTCAAAATAAGCTCAGTGTAACGCTGTCCTAATCCATGTCAGCCAGCCTAGATTCTTGAAGCAGCAAGCGTACCTGCATCCCTCTTTGGAGACTCACCCATCAAGATGCAGCTAGCTTCAGAAAGCCAAGTTAAAATCACCATTGCTTTATCTCCAATTCTATAGTGAGGCTTTATTCAAGCTATTACACTCTAAAAACCACAACTGATTTCATGGCAAAGTAGGACTCTAAGGAGCTCAAGCCCTAAAGCTGCCTGCGAGTTCTGCTCTGTTCTTATATTCCTAGGCCTACAAGCCCTAAACTATGTTGATTAGCACAAAGACTTTCAATTAGCACAGCTGTACTGGAACAACTCGTGGCATGAAAACATTTACATCAGAAACAAGACGACACACACATGAATAGCTATTTCCTTCCACTAGTGGGAACAGCATTTAGTAGATGCACTAGTAAGTGCATCCCTACTGGAGCAAAATAGGCCAGGAACATATCACTTGAATGACACGAGTAAGGCATCAAACTTTTTGCTGTAGAAAAGGCTTTAAGATTTAATTGACAAAGGCACTTTCAAACCCACAAACCAACCTTTAGCAGCTTCAACCTATTTTCAATAGCTCCGCAATGACAGCAGTAGCATCTGCTGCAACATTCAGAAAATATGTGTATTAATTCATTCAAAGCGTACTACAATGTACAATGAACACTTTACTGTAAAGATCACAGCAGTTTTGCTTAGCATATGGAGGGGTGATTGGGTTGTATTTAAAAGGAATAAAAAATGTAGCTGTTCAGCAAATAAGCTTATATTCAGTAGTTACATGAGCAGCAGAACTAAAACAAGTCTGATCTCCCACATCACGCTCGCTTCTGAATTTTACATGAGCAGGAGTAGATAAACTCACACTAGAGCCCTCTTTTCAGCATGGCCTCTAAAAAAGTTTTCACAAAACTCAGAGAAACTACCCTTTTCGACCTTTGCTTCCTTGGTCAAATGTGGTGAAATATGGTGAAATACACTAACCAATTCCAAAAGTTATTAGAGGGGAGCAGATAAAAGAGAGCCACAGCAGTTGTTTCTTTAAGAAATCAGGCAGAAGGTCATCAATTTATAAAAAAGAGAAAGGGGGAAAAGAAAGAGCACAGATTCAGAAGCAAAAGAAAGGAAGCTGTATTAGTCTAAATGTAATGACATGTTTAATTTTCTAGGAACGATAATCAGAAAAGCATGCAAGATATACTTCATCAGGACCAAATAAAAAGCCAGCATCTGCAATTATTCTAGGAACTATCTATACTGCAACTAGAATGACAATCATATCATATTATCTTTGTCCTTTCTTACACTTCACACTTTTTTCTCGTGTGTTTCTTTGTTTTTGTTTTCACATTTCCTATTGTTATTTTTAAAAATAGAAGTGCATCCCACATTTTTAACCCTTGGGCTACAAAACATGGTGATTAAGTAGCCTGTTTATACATCAAAGCCCAACCTCTGCCAGCTCTAATACCATTGGGTTTTTGCCGAGGTCTTCAGCGCAATCTTCTATCATCTGAGCCCCATCTCATGTAGTAAGAATAGAGTGTTATCCAGTACCGAATAAGCTCTGGAACCCAGCAAATACTTAGTCGAAGTATATTTATCCTTGAATTTCCATCAGCAGAAATAGTGAGTACAAAAGGCCATACTTTTATGGAAAAAAACACAAAAACCACAGGCACCTAGAAAAGTCACATATGATTGAAAATGTGAGTTAAAAAAAGATACGCTTTGGGTTCTTTTTATTTGCCTGCTACTTCTGAGCCCTGTTCCTCCATTTAAGTAGAATGGAAGCTGCTTCTTTTTATTTCTCAAATAGACGTTAAATATCTCACCTACTCTGCAGTTTTGGTTACTGAAAATTTAAGGAATTGAAATTCTTCCAATAGTAATTGAGAAGAGTTAATAAATGCCATCTATGGTCCAGCTGAGCTTTGAAATTGAACCTCCGAAGTCTTATCAAAGTCTGAGCTCATATCAGTCCATAAATACACTGCATAAAATCAATTAGAGAGAATTTTATCTCGAGGGCTGAAGATAAACGTGATACACAGGGTATTTAAACTCTGCAGTAAAGCTGCGAAAAGGAAATACTGGTCCTACACTGACTTAGCAAAAAAGACTCTCACACGGGCTTCTCTGCTTGAACTCCACTGCTCGTCTTTGGCATTAAGAACTTGCAGGGACCGTCAACGTGCAAAATACTGTACCAGACTTCATACGAATCAAGTATTTCAGTTAGAGATTCAGGACATCCCCCTCATGGACCATCACAGAAAAATCTACCTGCAGGTAAGTTTCTTCCTTGTGTCACCAAAAGGCAGTTGGTTTTTGACAGAAGTACAAAGGTTTATTTGCCTCCCTCAGGTATGTTACAGAAGTCCATGGCTTTACAAAGCTCACTCAAATCTTAGCAACAAATGCCATACGAGCTGTGTATCAAGAGCGTACGCCATCTTGGATTACTGTGAGATTTTCATTTATGTGGAATGTCAAGTCGCTTTTTTCTCCTCTTATGGAACAGTAAGAGAATCACGTTTGCTTTCTTCAGCTCAGTACTTTTGTAGCACTTTTAGGTTCATGAATCTCCTACATGTTACAACTAAAACAAAAGTTGTAGACTTGCTGCAGAAATCTCTGAGCGTTCTTACGTTCTTACGTCACCTTATGTGACAGGGTAATCACAATGGTCTCTGCTGAGTATAAAATATATAAGTAATGTTAACAGGGTAAATTGAGCCTAAACAGACTTTCTTAGAACGTAAGTGCTTTCACATAGTGATTCTCTACTTACCAACACAGAAATCCCATTAGCTCTGGGTTGCTACCACAGATCGTACTCTCAAACCTAACATCCTTCATTTGGCTGTAAAATAGCTAGCATAACTTTGCTGCACATATTTTCAGCTATAGGTCACTTTCTGAGAACCTTACCCCTAGTGTTACAGTCTCAAAAGGTTTAAGGAAAGTCAGCGTGTCTCACTGGTCATATATCTATACCACCAAGGCCTACCGCACATTAGGACTGTAGCTTCTGCTTTAGAATAAAACTATACAGCCTACGAATCAGTTTCTGTGTCTAGCCTCACTATGAAATAAGATCTACGGGTATACACATTAAATACACATGCGCACACAGCACTATATGCAACATGTAAACAGCTCTTGCACGCTGATCCAGGTACTGATGAGTTCTGCATAACTGAAACCTTTCACACCACAAAATTGCAGCATTGTCTATAAACACGCTCACCACTTGCTGCTGACAAACAAAAAAATCCCTCGAGTTGAGACAGCCTGCTTACATGAACAAATCATCATATGACTGGAAAAGGCAGAAAAAAAATAGCTGTGTTTAAGACTATTTTTTTCAGCACAGACAGGCAGGAGCTGTGCCCGCTGGGGTCACTGCTGGCACAACCTGCAGCTATGGGTGATGTCCCACAGAGAAGGTGGCAGGGGACAGGTCTGGCTGTTGAAGGAGCCAAAAAAGTAGACTTTTGTCCACGAAAATGGAAAACTAAATAAATATCCCCAGGCCACAGAGGCTCCTATTGCTTTTGAGGGAACCAGGAAAGGGGGCGAGCTTGGTGCGGCCACCGGAGAGACACCCGAGGGGGACAGAAAGGGATGCTGCGCTTCGCTAGTTTAAACAGGCGGTCTGCCACTCACATGGCTTTTGTCTCCTCTCGCAGAGGGCTACACGCCAATTCGAGTTATTTAGAAAAAGAGGG